ATTCGTGGAAACTAGCCTACAACGGATGGAAATTTTAAAATTTTAAAAATGTAAATAACGGAAAATGACGTATAAAATCTCGTAAAAACGTGTAAATTTCCGGCGAGATTGAGTTTACGCGCATTAATGACATTTTTTTTCTCTCTCTCTCTCTCTCTCTCTTTCTTCCTTTCTTCTGTATTGAGAGAAACAAATTGGATAACTCAATTTACCAGATAACATAAATAATATAAATCAATAATAATTCTCGAGATGGAAACACATTATTTCATTTCACTTTTTTAATATTTTGTAAGAGAATTCGACCGTAAAATAAATATATATATATATATATTTTTCGATTTTATAACTTCAACAATTTATTTATTTATGTTTGTTTGCTACTGTCTATAATATACAGTTATATAAAATGAATTACAGACAGAAAGCGAATACTAAATAAATAAAAATAAAGAAGATTTGGTATTTTCTGATGACAAAATAAATTTATTTTCACTTTCATTTTGGATTTGGAAATATTTCCTACGTGGTAACATTAATAGAAAAATAGTTTGATGCTTCTTTAATGGCCGACAGTAGCAATTTAAAAAACCATTTAGGGATTATTGTGTAGCTCTTCTCTTTAGTTTTATATATATATATATATATAATTTTTTTTCTAATTTGGGAAAAGGAAAGTTAATTGAATCGATAGGCCCTCTTCTAAATTTAACACTTCTATTTTTTACTATTAATTTGCTTAATTCGAAATTACTTCCCTGTGTTTTACACTCTGTGTTTTCCCATTTACCTTACTATATTTACATTGTTCTAATAGGAAAAAAAGTAAATAGAATGACCTGTTTTGTTGCTTAAATCTTAATTTTTTTTTGGTACTGTTTTTGTCTTGTGGGCACTAGGAAGGCCTTTTAAAGGCCTTTTTTTGGGGTGTTTTGATCACTCGGATTCAATTCCGGATCTCCCAGAGCGGTAGGCTCTACACTTTAGCCGCACGGATACCGGTCCCTCTGTAATTATCCTAACAGAAAAGCATGGATTTAAAATTAAGATAAACAAACGTACAGACGTTAAGTAAATTATTATAAAGTTTCTCTGGCCATTTTGACTTTCATTAATCATACGAACATCAACAAATAAACCGTCTGCGCCGCGACGAATCGTTAAACAAACGTTAACTAATACTCGATACGGGTGTATACTTCTAAGCCATTATCTTTAAAACCCTTCTTTATATACACCATTATCAAACTAAGTGCAATGTGTTGTAGACTTAAAATTTATAGAGCTAAGAGGAAGACGGATAAAAAATAAAATCACCCAGCGATCTTAACTAATTAAACTATAAAAATAATTCTTAATCAGTTTTAAAGGGCTATTAACCATCGAATTATTTAGAGAAATACACCGAAAAGTTTCGGTTTACTACTTCCTACCCCCTTCTTTAATTTATTATTATTTTAATTGTTTGGTTTTAAGTAAATTTATGGAGTTTCGGTTTACAAATTATTCGGCTGAGGATAAATCACTCTCTGTTTATTAATGTGGCCTCAAGTGGTTACTCTTCTTCATCATCGTATTGGAGCCGCGAAAGAAATGTAGGAAGGTAGAAAATTGAAGCTGTTTTTATGTTGTCATTGTAGCTCCAACGGTAAAAACTTGGCGATCAGTTCTACTTAAATTATTAATCGCAAAAATGGTGAGATTGTTTTAGAGAGAATTAGGGTATCTCTCTCTCTTCTCCCCTTCCCCCTCTCCCACACACACACACTATCTCTGGAATCGATAAACTTTCCCATTGGAAAAATGGCAAAGTTGTTAAATATTTATTACTAACGAGTTATACCTTATCTGGAGGATCTCATTGGTTACTAAAAAAAGAACTCTAATCATTTTCTAATTATCTAGAAGGCGTTAAGAGTAGAAAAATAATTTTCGCAATGGCGAATTACTCCACACTCTAAATATAAATCTAGTTTAATTCGGGGGGGGGAGCACTACCACGCGAAAAATTCTCCTCCTTCCCCTTACCAAACTAGCTTGGCTCTTATTGGCACTTTTCCCAATATCTTTACCGAATGGCGACCCCAGACACTGATTGCAACTGTCAATGGATTCTGCGCTATGTCATTATTGGAAGGAAACGTCGTTTGGGAGGACAGCTTCCATCTGAAAGAAGAGGTCGTTTGCAAGAGGAAGAGAAGAAGAAGAAGGGGAAAAAAGTGGAAGCATTCTTTGATATATGATTGAATGGCAGAAAGGTAAATTCTTTTGCCTGCCTGCCACACATTTGTGCAACAGGAGAAACGTAAATGCTCATATAAAATTTCAATTCGAAAATTTCCACCCTATACCTGTATCTGCCGCTTTCTTTCTTATCTGTATCAAATTCTAGTCGTATTTTTTGCATAAGAAACAAGGAAGAACCCCCCCCTTTTACCACTCATCCATATTTCCAATATTCTAGGATACATATTTTTCTGTGAGTCGTTTCTGTAAAATACTCTTTAGATTTTTATTTAGTCAACGTAACAGATGGGATGAAAGGAAATCATAAATTCTTATAAAATTCGAATTTCACTTTTTAAAAATAAATAAATATATATATATCGAATAAATTTACCGTAACATAGTAGACATATTTTTTAAAATTTTAAAAATACGTACAGTACAATTTGACGTCTTTCTGTTGCCCTCCCAAAAAAAAAACCAATGCTAAACTCCTTTTAGTATTCTTCTTGGTTGTAAAACATACATCATTTGGATATTTCTATAAGTTCTTATTCTTTTATAGTTTCTTTGACCTTTGCACTTAGTTTCAATTTGATTTCTGCTCAACCATCGGTGCAGAATTTTGTCTTTAGCACGCTTGGTTAATTCCGTCCCGGAAGACACAACTGCAGATGGCAAGTTGATTCACAGGTTTTCATTTATATCGACGTTAAAAATCTTCCAGAAACACAAGAAATTTCTTGAAATTTTAGCTGAATAATGCTGTAAGAATAATTCAAATGATGATAATACAATATATTACGTTTTTTGAATATGTACTTAGAGCCTTATTTAGCTGAAATTTTAATTTCTCGTGCTCTTGTGTACAAAGGAATTTCCTAAAATTTCCCGTACAAAGGAATTTCTCGTGTTCAAATAATTTTAAGAAATTCAAACGATATTATGTCCTTTAAATTATCATTAGATTCTTTTATTTAACTGAAATTTTTTAAGAAATTTCTCGTTGTTTCTATAAGATTTTAACACGTGTTTTTAAGACTTTAAGATAATGGCCTACATACAAATATATACATTACGTCCTTGTTTATATATAATATATATTGATCATTAATCCTGAAAGTGATATATCGTAGCAGGTTTAAATCTAAGTTTAATCGCTGCTCGTGAAATTTAAATGAACTACTATAAATCATTGTCGAAATTAACGTCCATTCTTCTATATTTATTCATCCTTTAACCGAGGAAAGTAACATAAAAATTCGATTACAAATGCTATTTTCGTAATTTCGTAAAATTAATCTTTAGGAATTCCGTTTTCCACGGGAGTCGATGAGCCGCCAACTCTTTTCCAAACTTTAGACCTCCTCTTACTCTCTCTCGCAGCACACTTCTCTTCTTGCAGCACACTACTAGAAATTGGAAGTGTACTTTAGTAATTCAATCTCGGGTTTTGAGAAAATCTAGTTGTCACAAAAACCAAAATCGAATTTGTTTCTCTTTTTTCACTCTAAGTGATGATTCTATTTTCCATTCGAAGTAAGAAGAGAACTACCTTGAATTCTTATACCAAACTTCTTCAGGTGTACGGTTCCTTCCTTCTATATAATTCTTCCTCTCTCTCTCTCTCTCCTTCCACAGATCGAAAAACTTAACTCGAACCCCTCCTTACTACTATTCATTTTTCTTTTAAATACAATTCTATTATAATTTTATGCGCGAAAGTATAATACTTTCCGTGTTTTCGCACCAGATATACAGTTAAAGATTGAATTTTAAATGAAAGAGGAGGATGGTAAAGGATGGAGGAGGAGGATGATGATGAGATCTTCTTCAATTGTTGCCACGGTAAAATATAATAAGGTTTATTTATTTAAAAAAAGGAAGGTAGAAGAGATTGCTTTAGGTATTTTTCCTTCTGTCAAAGAAGAGAGATGGAAGAAGTGTTCCATCTTTTGTTGCGAGACTTGAAACAAATTTATATTTACTCCATTCTGTAGAGAGGGGGGAAAAATAAAAATAAAATTTTTCCCCTATTTTCCCTTTCTTTCTCAGACAGAGATGAATGTTTTCAAGATGGAAAAGAACTATGATAAGTAAATAGAAGTTTTTTCCCCATAAAAAAAAATCTTTTAAAGCGGGGAAATAGTGTAAATTTTAAGCTCGAGTTGCATAAAAAAATTTTTTTTTCNCATATAAATATATCAATCTCTGTATAATCTTATTATAATAATTTTTAAACTTTTAGTCAAGTTTAAATTTAATTCTCTAAAAATCAATGGGTTGTTTTTTTAGGTGTAGGTATGTAAAGTCCTCTATGTAAACTTAATGTTCTAATGGTTTCTGTAATAGATTTAATGGAAATTAATCAAGATAATTATGTTTTTAAACAGATTAAAGCGTGTAAAAATAGATTTACTGTAAAATATTTTTTGCTGTTTTTAAAAATATATATATATAATTGAAAACTTACTTAGATATACAGTAAAACCTGTGTAAACCGGTATGGAGCGGTACCAAATATGTCTTTTTCTCCCCTCCCCTGTTTGACAGGTTACCGTTGTGTGTGCAGGGTTTTGTTTTAACACAAGAAATAGATCCGTTCCGAAGAATGTTTCCGTTTTAAGCAGGTTTTTACTGTTTATATCAAGACTAAACCGATTCTTAAAAGATTTAAATCGTAAAATATATTAAAATATTTTTGTCCAGCCTTTAACTATAACGACAAAATAAAAGGAATTGCTTTCCATTTTCTCCTGTTTAAGACCTTATACTGTAATTTTATATACAGTAAAACTATTGTTTATACAAGCTGGTTTTTATCGAGATATAAACATAAAATCGGAAATATGAAAGTTATTTGTATGGAAATTAGGTATTATCTGAATCTTTGAACCCTAGATTTAAATAAAGGTTATGGTTGGAGACTGATTGAATGAATTCGTGATAATGTAATAAACAAGCAGCATAATCAGGATACCTTAAACTAAAATTGTTTAGGTATAATTTTATAGTTTAGTTATGGAGATCATTCACTTGTTTCTTCTATTTATTCATTTATTTAAATTGACAAACAGCTTGCGATTTGTATAGTTTCTTTGCTTTTTATTTCTATTGTTAAGCCGCTAATTAAATACAATTTCTTAATTATTTGAACTGATTTTTATGTTTGTTTAACCGTTTCTAAGACTTAGTTTGTGTAACAGGTAGTTTTAAGATTGAAAACTTACTTGAGTGTGGACGGCTACGGGGAGTTCCCTATAGAAAGGCAATCTCTTGGTCCACTGCACCAATTTATAAACAATGTTATCTCCTATTTGACATAATTTTTCAGTTAATTCCGATTTTGCATCTAAAAGTTCTTGGATGTTTTTTAGTGTAGCTACATCTTCGAAATCATCACAGTCTATTAATTGGGTTATCATGGCGACTGCTTGCTCGGTGGGCATCTGACAATGACGAAAATTCTCTATTCTGTGTCTTAGATGGATGACATCTGCAGGATTGGTTAGAGCCGTTTTTAAAATTTGCCCATTTGCCCAATCTTGAGTAGGATAGCGAGGTTGAAGTTTTTGCTGTTCCTGACGAACGTGGCCGTTTTTCTGACCTTTTTTGTGTTTTTTATATTTTACCTGTAAAATACGACGAACGTAAACAATAAAGAATTCGGACGTTTTAACGGAACGGCAGATCTCACTCACCTTGTACAAATTATAAACCGCACCAGAATTTCTTCCTCCTGGCATTCTATCTTCTCTAACCGCTTCAGAGATGGAAATTTATTTTATGGCCTCGTTTAGATGCAAAATATATTAAAGTGAAGAAAACTTACCCGCTAGAACCATTCCTTGCCGTAGACATTTTTGAAAACGACAATATTGACATCTATTCCTTTGTGCCTTAGTAATCTCGCAATTACCATCGGCTACACACGTATACACTCTCTTGTTCTGGACTGTTCTTTTGAAGAAACCTTTACACCTAGGTACATGAAAATATATGGAAAACAATGCTCCTATTATTAGATATGATAAAGAATAAATAAATATTTTGAAAAGACTTAAATTTTAAATACAACGCAAAAAATAAAGATCACAACCAGCTTTGATTTCCGTTAAAGAATTGTCTGTTATGAGATTTCACNATAAGTAAATAGAAGTTTTTTCCCCATAAAAAAAAATCTTTTAAAGCGGGGAAATAGTGTAAATTTTAAGCTCGAGTTGCATAAAAAAAATTTTTTTTCTTCTTCTTCTTCCTCCTTAATCGGAAAAAATTTAATTCAAAAAATTTTTACCGTTTATATAAATTTATAATTCTTGACGTTTTGATCGAAGATAAAAAAGAACTGCGAATGGCGGCCACTGATGGGAATATAAAACTGTCCGTCGTTTGGAGGTTATTTTGTACGCATTTTTGAGTTCGGGAGGGGAAAAAAATCAACTGAAAAAATGGCAGCTTTCTAGAGGTGGCCGTTATTGCAGGTTACGTATGAAATTCTATTCGGAATTTTGTTTTAATGGTCGCTGTTTGAAGGTTTCTTTTTTATTTTTTTAAACAAAAATGTATACGAAATAAATTTTACGAAAAATGGCCGTTGTTTGGAGGTTATTTTGTATGCACTTTTCTTCAATATAATAATAATAATACCTGGAAAATGGCCTCTGTTTACAGGTTGCCGTTATTGGAGGTTAAGCATACGTCTTATTGAAATAAAGGGAGGAAAGTTGGCGAAAAAAGCGATTGTTGTTTAGAAGCGGCCGTCGTAGAGAGGTGTCCGTCGTCGAAGGTTCGACTCTAAAACGTTTAAATTAAGTGTAAATCTTCAAAAATTACCCAGGCGAGTAAAATCATAGATTAATTATTATTAATTTTTTCCCCAGTTTTGTTACATTAAAAACATCGTTTCGATGATAATTTCTCAGATTGTATCTCAATTAGCGATAAACGTTTATCTTCTATCAAAAGTTCTAAAAATTGCCGTGAAAACAGAATTAAAGCGAGAATATATTGGCCATTAAAATGAGAATTTGTTTTTATTAATGCATTAAAACGAAGAAAAATTGTATTAATTTTAAATAATAGACTTTAAAAAAAAAAAAAAATGAAAGATGGAGGATGAGGAGGAGCGAGCTTATTATCAATGGATCGATAGAGGCGAATAGATTTATTTAATTAGATAAAATCATTTTAGTAGCAATAATTAACTAAACAAGAAAAGAAAACTAATTAAAGCATATGGAAGTTCCATACTGGTAAGCGGTTTACAAATTAAATTAAAACCCACTAAGCAACCCGAATTAAGGAAAACCTTTATTGAGCGTCACGCGAACCTTTAAGCATCGTCTCGTCGTTTCGTCATCGGTGTTCGTAACTTAACCTTAATTTAGTTACTTGATTTTAAAAATTTTTACGGTAGTTCTTACGAAATGCTAACGCGCGACGGAAATTTCTTCCGGTTACTCAATTATTCAATTTAATTTCGATTAATTATTACCGTTTAAGGTTGAAAATCTTACGCGTACGTACGTATACCGAGTGCGTTTTCAAGCGCCATCTATGATCGAATTTCGTTACTAATTGCGAATAATGATTTGTGTGCTTTTAAAGGGGGGAGAGATTTTATTTTATTATTATTTTTTTAAAATAAATAATTAAATTGTTTAATGGTTATTAGCTGTGTTAAAAAGGGAATTTTAAAAAATTCTTCTTTTTTTTTTCCTCTATTGAAGTGATCGAAGAAACACACTTTCGATACATTATTGAAAGGAAAATAAAATGGCCTGATAGTTCCTTACGGAGAACGTTTTATCATTTTTATCTGTATGACATGTTCCGTTTTATCTTCACTAACAGAACATTGGATTAAAGCTCGTTCACCATCCTAAGACCATTTGAAACATTTTCTATTCTGATTTAATTCTTTCAACGTTACTTCCACCCTCGATATTTACTGAAAATTCTAAGATTACGCCATTACTTCCCTCCCGTTTATGATCTATTAACGACGACGCCCTTTTAAAAATTTTCCTCTTTTTTAATTCTCCTTCCTAACGATAGATGGCGCCAACTTACAGATCGTTTAAAATTCAAATTTTTAAATTCCTCGCGTGCTGTGACGTATTTTAAATTCGAATTTTTAAAATTTTTTCCGGGGGAATTCACGTGTGTATTATAGTTATATCAGAAACTAATTCTCGTATAATGTTAAAGTTTTAATGAAATTAATTAATTAAGCTTTGGTCCATCAATCAATCAATTTTTAATTAAATTATTATCAAGTAATTTTAAAATGTTTTACAAATTTATTAATTTATATTATTATTGTTATAATTGAAATTTTTATACGGTTTTTTTTCCAATCATTTTTATGCTAATTTCTATGGTAAATTAAATGAAATTCGCCATAAAATGATTTAAAATTATTATTTAATTTTATATTTTTTGAATATTTTACAAAATTTATTCTTTAAAATTCGAGAATTGAATTTTTTCTTTAATATTTTTTTTGAATTTTCAAAGCATAAATTTGTTATTTGATATTTTCCAGATGCAATTTTTGTAATTAAAAAATAGATTTTTGTAAAAAAAAATTAATAATAATAATAAATATNCGTACGTATACCGAGTGCGTTTTCAAGCGCCATCTATGATCGAATTTCGTTACTAATTGCGAATAATGATTTGTGTGCTTTTAAAGGGGGGAGAGATTTTATTTTATTATTATTTTTTTAAAATAAATAATTAAATTGTTTAATGGTTATTAGCTGTGTTAAAAAGGGAATTTTAAAAAATTCTTCTTTTTTTTTTCCTCTATTGAAGTGATCGAAGAAACACACTTTCGATACATTATTGAAAATAAAATAAAATGGCCTGATAGTTCCTTACGGAGAACGTTTTATCATTTTTATCTGTATGACATGTTCCGTTTTATCTTCACTAACAGAACATTGGATTAAAGCTCGTTCACCATCCTAAGACCATTTGAAACATTTTCTATTCTGATTTAATTCTTTCAACGTTACTTCCACCCTCGATATTTACTGAAAATTCTAAGATTACGCCATTACTTCCCTCCCGTTTATGATCTATTAACGACGACACCCTTTTAAAAATTTTCCTCTTTTTTAATTCTCCTTCCTAACGATAGATGGCGCCAACTTACAGATCGTTTAAAATTCAAATTTTTAAAATTTTTTCCGGGGGAATTCACGTGTGTATTATAGTTATATCAGAAACTAATTCTCGTATAATGTTAAAGTTTTAATGAAATTAATTAATTAAGCTTTGGTCCATCAATCAATCAATTTTTAATTAAATTATTATCAAGTAATTTTAAAATGTTTTACAAATTTATTAATTTATATTATTATTGTTATAATTGAAATTTTTATACGGTTTTTTTTCCAATCATTTTTATGCTAATTTCTATGGTAAATTAAATGAAATTCGCCATAAAATGATTTAAAATTATTATTTAATTATATATTTTTTGAATATTTTACAAAATTTATTCTTTAAAATTCGAGAATTGAATTTTTTCTTTAATATTTTTTTTGAATTTTCAAAGCATAAATTTGTTATTTGATATTTTCCAGATGCAATTTTTGTAATTAAAAAATAGATTTTTGTAAAAAAAAATTAATAATAATAATAAATATTTCAGATGATTTTCGTGATAACATGGAATTAATTTTAGAAAATGGATTAAAATATGGAGGAATAAAAAAAAAAAATAGCAAATGTTATTAAAATTCCAGGAAAAACTATATTAATTTCCTTAATATTTATTTTTAAATATTTAATTATAAATACATATAATTAGATTCTGCATAAAGTCGTATTAATTAATACAATGGCTCAAAAGTCGGTTAACCATAGAAAAATACTCAAATCTCTTAATTCTCTACCAATTAAATTCGCGAGTCGTTTTACCAGCCGTAACTAGAACACGCGCGGCACGGTTAATAGATTTTTGGGCCGCCCCGTATATCGATTAACGTGCAAATTTGTTCCTACTACAGTATTATAGTTTCTAATAGACGTTATACTCGATACAATAAATAATTTACAGTACTCAAACAGTCGGAAATCGTGTAATGTCGAGCGAAAAAATGCAGAATAAGAGGGAGGAGAGGGGTTAAAAAAAAGCCCCAGCCACCCAATTGATGCTTCGATTGCGTGATGAATGGGAGAGAGAAGCGAGTGTTTAATATGTTCCACCATAAATGCAAATCTGAAACTCATTTGAATAACGTCTTTAATGGCAAATCATCTGCTTGACATGCAAATGCGTAATTTTAACACTGTGTTTATGTATCCTGTTATCTTATTATGTTACCGTCGTATCCGCTCTATCTATATTGCTTTATCGTAGAGTCAAATATAGTCATTTAAAATCATCAATTTGATTATCATTTTAGCATTTATCAGTATTTAATATACAAGCGTAGAGAGGGTCTAGCCGTAAAGGAAATTTAATAAGGGGGAGATTACGCTCGTGTATATTTTGATTTAGTAGATTTATAATCGTTGTAAAGACGTCTATAAATTATATTAAAATTTCTATTTTAGTTTGTTTATATAAGTCGTAACAAAAACATTATTTTAAATAAAACAATAACATTTTTATTGTATTCCCCCCTTCTTGTTTATCGCTTAATGGCGCGTGAGTATTTAGAGATTAAATTTATTTATTTTTTCCGAATTTTTTCTGAAGTTTTAAAATTAAATAATAATAAAAATTTACTAAATATATATTAATACAAAATTCTTTTTCGATCTTTAAAAAAAAAAATTTTTTATGTAGCTTACAAAATACGGATATAAATTCGGTTTAAACGCGAGATAAAATTGTGAAACAGGAAAAATAAATACATAAAAGCGTAAATGACGTAATATAAAATACTGTTATAATCATAATTAAACTTTTATTATCGTCTCTGGCGTTATGGCATGGGAATACGATACCTCACAACGTACGTAATTTCAGTCTGGTGACGTCATATATGAGCAATTTGGTTCTTTGTTTCGACGTCATATTTTCGTTACAGTCCTTAATAAATGGTTACAATGCCATTAATTAATACGTAATTATTGTCATTGTTAGCAATAGACAGAGAAAATTAACGAGAATTTAT